CCAACGGTCGGAAAATATTTTTTGACTTTTTTACTGCCTTGACGGTTTATCTAGACATATCAATAATCAAATGGCTAGAAGGTACTCTCTCGTGGCTCGTCTTAGCCACATTTCCTTCCGTTTTCTTTTTTAAAACGACAACTCCGGCGCTAGGAACACAACATACATGATACAAAGAACACCCAGACTCAGAACAATATTTGTGGATCGCGAAAAATGTTGTACATGTGGGAATCGCACCCACAACACTCAGCGTAATGAGCTTAAACCATTACGTCATCCGTGCAGTTCGTCAGTCAGACAAGACCACATGATAACCATGTTCGGTTGAAGCCGAAGAAAAGTAAACATTTCGCGTGGATTATAAAACCTCGCAAAACTACAGGTTTTGCGAGGTTTTATAATCCACTTTACTACAAGACAAAATAAAGAACCACACTTATTTAGTAGATTTGTGTTTACTTTATCTAATTTCACCTTTCGGTATCATTCATTCATAAGTATTTATACGTAAAAAATGTAATAGTCGGCCATCAAATGTGAGTTCCCTTGCACTTTTACTATCGACCTTTCACGCACCGTCTAAGCTAAATAATTATGATTGCCATTACTAACTAACGTCCGGCACAAAACAATTTAATATTACTTTATGATTTTTGAATGTGATTATAATTAAGCGTTTACTATTATGTTTGTTGAAATATTTATTTATTCACAGGCAATCTGTTTGCTTTTTAAAAGAGAGTTGTAACTGTACGAAACTTGAATACTAATAACCTCACACATTTTACGTACGGCCATCTTATCCTAAGCTAGGTAGTCTGTATTATAGTAAAGAGACTGCTGATAAGATACTTAAATATTTCTGAATACATATACCAAGAATTTTATGTATCTTGATTAAGTCAGTTACGTATTAAGGCATGAGAAGATTGATCCTTTTTTTTGATTCTATGGGATATACTTAATTAGTTATGTATACATATGTATGTATTTGTATATGTGTATACGTATGTATATTTGTTGGTATGTATAAATATGTATAAATATTTATTTAATTTTACCTCTTTTATATTTATTAGTAATTAACCTGACAAAACTCATTGCACCTTTAACTACTACTGTCTTTCCAAAACATTTTAATCCATCCTAAGGTTGCCACCCTTACATGTCTTTCATGTCTGACATTTTTAATGTATCATATTACTTGTAAAACGGTTAAAATAAAGAGTTTTCTATCTATCTATCTCTCATACCTACATATTGTAGATCAATTACACTCAGATACAGAACAAATGATTGTGCTCATCACAAAATGATTTGTTCTCAGTGGATTTCGAACCCACATCTGACTTATAGATATATCATAGAGTAAATATTTACTCCTGACAAAAGGACTAACGAACGCAAAGCCAAACAAACTTAACGGTAAAATGTAATGTGATAAATTAATTGGAAGGGATCACGGCGAGCATTAGAGTGGGCAAGTGGAAGTGGGCCGGTCATATATACAGGCGGACTGATTGCCGACATGTGTTAGAGTGGAGACCGCGATTGGGCAAAAACATAGTGTAGGGCCCTGCGGCACGATGGACCGACGACTTGAGGAAAATAGCTATCAGCGGATGGATGCGAACTGCCCAAGACCGAGATGGTTGGCGCTCTTTAGGGGAGGCCTTCGTTCAGCATTGGACGGCAATAGGCTGAAGTAAGTACGTCGGGCATTACCTAAATCACAGCAGAGAGCGTATACCTAAATGTCATCACTGCTAAGACTGGAGACACTTACTGGGAATTGTAGAGCTCTCAATGTATGTAAAGTGTCCAAAGTTTTTTCTTTGGTCCACAGCTTCAACTTTTATTCCGGCACTTCATTTTGCCTTTATAAGCGCTGCTTTAAGGACACCTTCATTCAAGTCGGTCGTCCTAACAGAAGAAGTATCTAATAGCAAGAAGCAAAACCATACGAACAACCTATTTCTATTAGATGACCTGTAGAAAATTCAGAACCCCTCAGCTTAAGGGCAAATACATCGCTACCTGTTTAAGTAATCAGTGTAATTAAAGAAGCTTATGGCTTCTTCAAACCCATTACTAGTCCTGTCCAATTCAAATCGAGGACTTAAATCATTCATAATATAACTTAGATATAATTAGAAAACAAGTCTCATCATCATCACCAGCCTTTAATAGTGCACTGCTGGACATAGGCCTCTCCTTAGAAAGGAATTTTTGGCCTACTTTACCACGCTGGTCAGACGGGTTGGTATAGGGTTTGTGTCAATCGGACGTCGCCTAAATAGAGTGTTTTCCGAAGGTGGTGCCCGCGCCGTTGCGGGCAGGCGCTAGGAGGGGTCCGGATGTCTTAAGAACAGCTGTTCCCGGATCCCTCCTATTACAGGCGCAGAGTGGCACACCGTGGTTTTTTAGTTGGTCCGAGTCCGACACACCACCCCGCCGCAAACCCCGGTGGGGTGACGGTCCGAGGGGATTTCCACACGTAAAAAAAAAAAAAAGGGTTTGTGTCAAGTTTTCCTTCTTTTTGCAGTGCTGGTGTTCTGCGTTGTTTTGCGCCATTAGTCGGATCTTACGACACCCACGTCATGAATTGGGGTACTGACATTCCGTATTATTAATCCGTCACTACCGTCTCAGTTAATCATAATTTTATTTAAAACAGTAACATACGAGTACATACGAGTATACGTCCTTATTTCAATGAACGTAGTCAAATTTGTTCTAGATTTAGTAACACTAATCCATATAAACATCGTACAATTTGTCAAGAAAATTTAATTTCAAAAGCCATTTGCAATTTGCGTGTTGTTTTTTCTGTCTGACCAAAGAGAATGTATGCGCGAAATGCTTGTGTCAATTAATTGAGCTGTTAGATTCGCCACACTTTTAATTAATGGTCTATGCTCACGCTTCAATAAAGCTTTTCTATCGCAGGGCGTATAAATTGCTACTGACTGGCTGTACAACATATTTACTTTTTGTAGGCTTGTAATGCAGCAGAATAAGGACTCATTGGTTCATATGTTGCCCTTTTGGTCTTTTTTACATAAAAGTATACGAAATTGCTCTTATTACATATTATTCAAAGAGTAAAGAGTTTCACTATATTAATTTTATAATTAAATTTATAATGTTACCCCACAGAGGTAAAAGTTACCCTGTTTAAAGCTTATTGGGCCCTCCGGGTCCAATATAATAATTCCTTTAGGTGAATGATGGGGCTGCCCTGGCGATGCAGCCCCTCGGAAATGTTTGCAGAGGCGAGAGTTGACTGATTTTACTCCACGATAGGTAAACGAGTAATATTATTCTTGTCGTGGGTAAGTGGCAGCTCCAACAGCTAGCTAGCTCATGGCTAGGAAGCCATGAGAGCCGACAGAATGGACTGTACATATACGACTCTATGCTGTTGGCTACATGCATCTTTTTCTAAATATGTACTTTAATACTCATAGGCTAATTATTTTAAATGCTTTATTATTATTATATGTATTTTGTGAGTCGTATTTCGTATGTCATAATCACCTTTCTTCGCCTTACTTATTGACAATTGTTATTAGTATAGTTGATATATTAACTCGTGTAATTCTAAAATGAATCAATTGACACCTAAAAGAGGTCGTTAGATTTATTAACCTCTTTTTTATTTTGTCCCGAAAACACTTAACTCAGGTGTGAAAAGTATTTGAATATGGACGTATTATGCGATATCGAGAAGTCAAAATGTTTAATATTTATTTAGTAGTAAATAGTGGAATACAAGTACAAGTTAGTTTTATTTCATAATAGTAAATTGTTCTCATCTATAGTACAGTGAACAAACCGCCGCAAACTATCTGTCGCGTCAGTCTAGTGGTGGCTTACGTATTCACAATGTTGTTTCAGTTTCCCTTTTGTTCAGTTCAGTTAAACATGACTTACGGCACTTAACTGTAAGTTTAAATATTCAGATTGCGGAAACTTAAATGTGATGTCAGGTAATCTATTTTTAAAAGATAAACTTGCGAGCTTTTCGGTTTATGAAAACTTGTGATGATGGATATTGGTCATCAGATTGAGTACTTTAATAAGTATTTAGGATAACTTTATTCATTTCAGTTGTCGCTATCTGGCCGTGGACAAACTTGTGTTCAGGTAAATCAAATATTTAGCTAAATAGAAGTTTGTCCACCATCGTCCGACAGTAACCTGTCAATATAAGAATACCGACGAAGCAAAATATTTCATCATCAGACAAGGTATACGCCATATTTCCTTTTTCTACAGCATAAATAACTGTATGACGAACAATATGAATTATTATTTCGTGACAAAAAAATAAATCAATGAAATCGACTGGATCTGACGCATCTGATACGGTCACCACTGATCTTGGAGGTGGTGCAATTCACTCGTTATCCATTCTGGATAAGTCTCGTTTTCCCACTTACGGGCTCGAAGCTGTCCTGGTCGACTCTATAGAGGCACGTCCGATGTTGTGTTTTGACTAGCTAAGGCGAAAAGCAGAAGATTATCTTCTGACTCGTTGTCATCATTGTCTTTATTCCCATGAACCACTAGCTCAGCTGAAGCCAGAAGTTGTCTACGTGATAAATTTTCAAATCTTACATTTGTCTCGTCGCCCGAATCGGAGTCCGAAACTAATCCATCTCCGTGGGATCAATATAAATGTCTATACCTGTCGCTTCATCGTCCGAATCCAAATAATGGACAATATCAACTATTTCATTGGTCGATAACGGTTTGCTACATCTGAAATAAAAAAATCTTATTTAGTATATTACATACGTATATTTTCCCAAATGTATCGTTTACGAAACACTGATTTGATAAACACCTTTTAGGTGTTTGAATACAAAAATTTTGTTTTTATAATTACACAAACATTCTCTAAAATTATCTAACTTTCTCCTAAATTACGCAAAACCTCGTAAACTAGAGTTAATTTGGATAATTACTTACTTTTTTTTGTGAAAGTCGCCATGATTTCTGCTCGCCGAAAACAGGTCACAACGTGCACTGATTTATTATGGGACACTAAAATTTGTTTAGTTGAAACATTCAATTACCATTAGAAGAAGATATAAGGTATTTTCTTATATCAACTTGATATAGATGGCGGTAGGATGCACTTTCCGAACGAAACGCGTAAGATGATGAACTTTTATGAATGCTTAATTTTTGATTCGTTTTCGAATCAGATCGCAAATAAGGAACCAAATAAATACATAGTTCTGGGCATATATGGGTTATAACAGTAGATTTAATACAGAAACGCTTGAAGAATTATACCTACATTCTATTAAGTATTTACTAACTGCTTTGTCCTTGCGTTGTCCAGAAGAGATTTAGACAGACGCTCGCTTTAGCAACTGTGTGTGGAAATAAAAAGAATTGTGATGTTTTGATTATTCGTAAAAATCCTTAGAATAGGACAATCGTTTATTATAGCACTCTTGTTTTCACGTACTAACATATTTCAACTTTGTAATGCCGAAACAGGGTCCACAAAATTAAAATCATTTATTTTAATTAAACTAATAACAGGTATGTTTAAATCAGTCATGAAGGTAGATGCCTGTTCCTGGTGGAGAAAAACAGTCAAGGAAGTCCAAAAACACTCTTTTTCAATACTTTCTTTTTTTGTTTTTATAAGTTACTATGAGTTCCATCAGAGACATGAAATAATAAATAATGAAATGAACCAGCAATGATTTTTACGATACTTTCACCGGGAAACATCCCTGTGTCCAGACTTGTGGCATCTTTTCGTTTATCTCCAAAGGGATAGCTCTTGTACAAATATTTTTTGGTTAAAACTTTTTGACTTTTCTAGTCCAGATTAGTCTTAATAAGTGGTTATTACATTTCAGCGCTATATAGGTCTGCCCGGGATGCTGAAAGCAGGGGAATACTCGCCAAACAACCCGCTACTGCGAGGCGAACGTGCACCGGGTGATGCTCTTCTCGGCCTCGGCGAATATGAACGACACCGAAACACATTACGCAAGATTCGACAACAGCAGTACAGGGAATACCTTGATCAGGTGAGAGAAAAGTTTACTAGTATAAAAATTACAACATTGTTGGAAGTAATGTATCGACATTGCGATGCGAATGTGCGTTAACTGAAAGGCTGATAAAATGTTATTACTTTAAATATAATAACCAACGATACCTTAGCCCATCTGTATCAATCTAAAACTTCACTGACAATGTAGTTTTAGCTGTGTTGCTGCTCAGTCGTAGCCAACCGCCCCTTTTGTCCAGCCACAGCTTTTGATAGCACACCGAATTTAAAATCTGAACATGGTACAGTATTTTTCAACGCTTAGCGATAAATTATAGAGATGGTTGGCATCACGGGTTGTTTTGTATACTAGGCGAATTCGGGAGACTGCGAAATGTGCAACCGCGTTACCTAAAACAATACGCCACAAATCTTGAATCAGAGAATATATCGGGTCTCAAAATTCAGAACTTACCAAGGTTTCTGCCGGGGCTGGACCTGCCAACAATTACGCCATAAACAACAGATGTTCGCGACACATACCGCGTGAGACTTTTACTGTGTGGTCATGGATATAAAATCATTATTTTGTAACTGTCATTCCTATCTATAATTCCAGCAAGCCAAAAAGAAACAAGAAGAGAAAGAGCAAGCGGAGAGAGAACGCCGTGAACGTGAACAACGTGAGAGGGAAAGAGAAGAACGAGAAAGGGAGTTAGTGCAGGAGCGGGACAGATACAGTCCGGACCGAAGGCGGAGCTTGCAACAAATACAGAGTTCTCTGAATGTACAGAGTTTGCATCGAGACCAATATGTGCAATTGCAACCACTTACGACCGGAAGCACTACTTGTGGCATCAAGTAAGTTCATATTCCTCAATTACAAAAATAAAATTTTGCTCTACTTGAGCATCATTTTAGACCTCCTTATCTTGGAAGTACTAAAGATAACGTCGCCATCTTTTTACACAACAAAAAATTTATACCATTTTTTTTTCGTTGGAAGTAGTTTGCACTGGTTTAGTTCCCCACTGGTTTAGTTTAGTAGTCAACAATAGTTTAATTCTGACAGCCCTTTTGATAACGAAGTATAAGTTTTAATTTATTTGCTAGTTTAATTTGTGTGTTCACAAAAAGAGAGAGCTATTGAATATTACGAACTTTCATATATTATTCAACTTACGTACTCGTACATTCATTCTGTTCTATCAACCTAAAATATAACACATGACCAAATATTTCGGTTAAAACTCATAATAAACATCTCACAATAAAATACAATCTTAGTATATTTATAAAAATATCTACAAACATAAAGTAACTTTTAGTGTTTCTCCTAAATGTAAGATTTAAAAATTTATATCTTACTAATGTCCAAATCCTAATTTTAGCGGCATAATAATGACTTTTAACCAACGTCCAAACCAAAAAGGGACACCTGCTTTGTTAGTATATTGTGGTTTTTAGTTTGTATAAATTTTAATATAATAACCAACATTACATTTTTCCTATCGACCTAATGTTACTTTACGATAAAGTATTTATTATCCATACTAATACTAATATGATAAATGCACAAGTGTCTGTCTGTCTGTTCCGTCTTCACACTTAAACCGCTGAACCGATTTAGATGAAATTTGGTATGAAGATATTTGATTCTTGAAGAAAAATATAGGCATACTTTTTACCGCGATAACTGACATTTATGCAGACGGAGCCGCGGCAAATTACTTTAGGCAATAATTTTTGTCGTTGTTGTTGTAAGTTATAAGACTTGTCGACTAATTGTGTCGCTTCCCAATAATGATTTTGTAAGTATTTTCTACTTACATCGCGCTCTTATAATAAAAGTGTCCTAATTCAAAATTCTTCGAAATTTGGCGTTTGTGAGTCAGGACACTTCACTTCATTTGATTCAACATTTTGACGCATATTTTCCAGTAAAGTGGACACCGGAGTGCAAGTAGATGGCTTTTCACAACCACTGTCCGTTGCTGTACAAACTGATGATGCAGATATGTACCGAGTAAGTATGAGTAAAATAACCAAAAACATATTTGTATCATCATATCTTGTCCATAAATATTGTAAGATGTAACTCATGCTCGAGCAGTGTAGTAGTGATCACAAACTCATGTTATATTATTCTTGGTAGATAGTATCATAATTAAACTTGTGAGATTTAAGAGAATAGAGATAGTATATCCATCACCATCATCACAACAACAGTCTTTAATAGTCTACTGTTGGACTTAGGCCTCTCCTTAGAAAGGAGGTTTTGGTCTACTATGCAACGCTGGCCAGACGGTCAAGTTTTCCTTCTTTTTGCAGTGCTATTGTCCTGCAGAGTTTGCTCCGTTAGTCGGCTCTTACAACACCCACGGAACGAATAGGGGTGGTGACACTCGCACCAGGGACTTCCTTTCTAGGGTATACCTGGTTCCCCGGCTATTAGTACCCGGCGAAGGCATGTCGGTTCGAGTCCGACATGCCACCGACAAGTGGTATCCGAGGGGATTTCCGCACGGAAAAAAAAAAAAAAAAAAAAAAAAGGGGTGGTGACACTACGTATGCTTAATTCGTCACCACACGGACATAATATGTCCATCAGAGTTCAAAAGGTTTAGCTACTGGAACCCTGACGCTGTTTACCTAGATAGGTTATTTTATAATTCATAACTACGTGAAATAAAAACAAAAATAATAGTAGTTATGTGTACGTGTGTGGTGCAGTGCGGCGGCGCTGGCCCGCTGGCGTGCTCCCTGTCGCAGCTGACGCAGGCGGAGCGCGAGCTGTCCCCGCGCACCGTGCCGACCAACGCGCGACGACGCAGCTACGGAGACTTCGATGGTATTGTCCTACTTAAACTAGTAATATCCACATTAGACATGTGCCGACCATGGGTTTAGCCGACCAAAAGACTAGATTGATAGATAGAAAACTCTTTATTTGTACACCGTTTTACAAATTATTATGGCACATAAAAATGACAGATATATAATGTACAAAGGGCGGCCTTATTGCTAAAATCGATCTCTTCCAGGCAACCTTGGCATTTAAGGCTAATCGCTAATGAACTAGCCGATTAGTCGCTTATAAAAAGGCCGACTATAATCCATCAACGTCGTGCGCGACCGTCCTGCGGGGTGACAGACGGTGGCGGGGACGAGGTACTCAAGATGTCAGCGTGTAGAGGGGAAGGGAAACGCTTCTCTTCGTGTGTAGCCGTGTGCTAGACACCCCGCGGGACGGTCGCGCACGAGATTGCTATAATCTGACGACTGGTCGGCCAGGCCGATGACGGTTTCGGTAGTGTATCGCATTTGCCGTAACATTTAGTTTACAGATGATTTGCGCGCAAGTCGCAAGTTTTCCATATACAAAATGAAAAAAAGGTGTCTTAAAGTAAGCATCCTCATTCGGCGTGTGTACCTATTTTTAATTCTAACTTACGACAGACTGACTGATTTGTTAATTATCACCGACATTACGTATTACGTCATTATTATGTTACCATACCATCAACAAAACGAAAGAATAAAAAAGTCCTGAACTATTTTACCTTGCCCTCAAATTTATATATATGTTTCTAATACATTTCAGAGCGTAACTGTCTGCTGAAAAAATGTAACCGAGACAAGTGGAGCTCCGAGCTACGTCACACCTACATGCCGTCTATATTTGACGCAGAAACCATCCGACTCAGAAACATTCAGTCTGAAAAGGTACTGTTAGAGTTGCCTTATGCAAGCTTTCTTGCACAAACTACACTTCTACCGTGCACACTCAGCATTTCTCCATAACTAGCCGAGTGGTTCGGTAGTCTGATCCCTGAATAGGCAAGGCCTGTGGTAACCAGACTGCTAATAAACATCCTTAAAATATTTCTAAATATAATATTATAGATAAATTACACCCAGACACAGAACAAATGATCGTACCCTAAAATTTGTTCTGGGTGGGAATATACTCGTAATCCAAGACCTCCGGCTAAGTAGTCATGGCTGGGGCATGGGCAGGGACTTTTGTGTGGTCGGTGGTTACATGAAATGCATCGTTTACAGGAGGCTGCTGAACGTCGTCAATATTATCAACAAGAACTTAAAAACCAAATTATGGAGCAGCAGAGGATAAGAGAAGAAAGGAAAAATAGAGAAAAGTGAGTTATTATTATACATTTTATATTTCCTTTAAAAAAGTTGTAAATAAGTACACTACTTCCTACATTTCAAATTTATTATTCTACAGTCATATAAGGACTGAACACATTCAAGCACGATATTGTCCGTGTGGTGACGGATTAAGAATACGGAGTGTCACTACCGCTGTTCATTCCGTGGGTGACGTAAGAGCCGACTAAGAGAGAAAACTACGTCCTGCGTACAACAGCACTGCAAAGAGAAGGAAAACTTAAAACAAACCCTATACCAACCAGTCTGGCCAGCGTGCTAGGCCGAAGCCTCTTTTTAAGGATAGGACTATGTCCAGTGAACTACTGAGGGCTGTTGATGATGATATACGGTTGTGTTCCAGAATGTTGGAGCAGGCGGAGATGCGGCGGCTGGAGGAGCAGCTGCGCATGTTGCGCCTGGCGCAGGAGCGGGAACACGACTCGCAACGGCTGCTTGATGCCCAGGTGGGACTCTTCACACAACCTACTTGCTTTATTAATATTATATCCCATCAATGACATCTCCATGCACAAGTCTTACAGCGCAGTTGTTCTGCCGTAAAAAGTTGTGAAATCGAATGTAAACCGAGTTGATTAATTCAGTACCTGTTTATGGGAACAGCTATCCATCCACTTTGTTACCGACCAACCATAAATTGATACCTTGTTAGTTAGCTAGCAACATTTTAATAGGAACCATCTCAATATTTTATTTTTTATTTCTTTATTATATAAGTGACTGGGCAAACAGAGTAAGAGGAGATCCGACCGTCGAAGGGTACGATAAACTCAGATCTCCTCAAATTAAAGAACACATTTTAGTTACTATTACATCATATAAATAAATGATGAAGCGATTTCTAGTATGAGATATAAAATCGATTGTATCTAGTCAGTGGAGTTCGACATTTTACCTTAACATGTAATCTAGTGAGGTGACAATCCGAGAGGATTTCCACACAGAAAATGTATAATTGTCGAAAACCACATAAATTAAATAATTTATTCTAAAAAAGACAATACAATAGCCACTTGCATGACAATACAAAATAACATTTTTGTTAAATTATTAAGTTCCGGTCACCGAAACAAGTACTTAAATACAAAGATTAACTGAGTAATAACAATGAAGACTATTAATAGTACAGTAATAATAATATTATAGTTAAAAAGTTAAGTAATTCATACAATAAAATTTAATATACAGGCACACGCTTAACACTTTTATTCTCACCCGGATTATTGTTGATATGGATTGGAAAATTTTTCGAGAATGCACTTAGACAGTTGAGATTTTGAAACGTTGAACGATCTTTAATTTTTTATGTATGACGGTGAATTATTATTAATGTGTGATCCTTTATAAGCAATATTTTTTTGGCATAATTTGTACAAGTAGGTAGGTTATACTCGTACAAGTAAGTTGGGTCAACGCCTGCTACGTTTAGATACCGCCGAAATTTTGGTAACTGATAAGTTAATTTGCATTTTTAAGCTATTGCATAGCTTCTATCGCGGGCCTTGAGCGTGGAGACCGAATCCAGAAATGCCGTAACGAAAATAACCTAACACCTACCACTCCGACAGGCACAGCGGTGATACTTTTTAGTTTTGCCATCTATCGATGAATAGCAGAACTTTTTTAAGGTAGGGTGTTCCTTTGACATGACAAAGGGGGGAGACCAGTTTATTTTTATTAATGTAATAACATCCACATTCAAAACCCTCCCCCCCACCACCAAAAATTTTATAATTGCATTGAGGTCCCTTTAAAATACCTCCCCTTCTCTCCCCTCCACTTTTTTCATTTATCCCCCCTTTGATTTTCTCGGTACCTGGAGCACTTGGACTCCCATGTTTGGGTTTGTCTGAACCGGGAAAAAGAGACGAACAATCTGGCCCCTACAGATTTTTTTTGAAAAGTATCGTAACATGTAACAACACTTCAGTCTGTTTTTCTAAAGAGGGGCGAGGGCGGGGGGGGGGTGTATTTTCGAGGGATGACTTATTTTTTTATGATTGCATTGAGGTCCGCACAAAATACCTCCACCTTACCCTTCAACTTTTTTCATTTATCCCCCCTTTGATTTTCTCGGTTCCTGGAGCACTTGGACACCCCATGTTTGGGTTCGTCTGAACCGGGAAAAGAAGACGAACAATCTGGCCCCTACAGATTTTTTAGCTGGTACCCGCGACTTTGTTCGTGTGGAATTTGAAAACACTGCCTTAGTGGGTTCGATTCTGGAGCCGGGCAAAATTCTATAGGGTTTTCCTAAAAAAATTATTTAATACTAGCTGGTACCCGCGACTTCGTTCGCGTGGAATTTGAAAACGCTGCCTTACTGGGTTCGATTCCCGACCGAGCAAATTTCTATAGGGTTTTCCTGAGATAATTATTTAATACTAAGTTTATTAATACTAAGTTGATAAAAAATGCTATGCAATAGCTTTACCGCGGCAGTCCCCGAGTGCTACACGTCTTTTTTTATTCATCATCTTAGTTTCTTTAAATATTTTATAAGTAGGTGTTAAGTATGGATAGCGGAATGTATTTTTCTGATCTTGTTTTATACTCTTTGTAATTGCAAATGTAAAGAAAATACATCTTCAAACCTTGTGTTACAGATGAAACACAACACAACCGAGTACAACATTAAACGTTCAGAACTTCAGAGAGAAATAGACATGGAACATGACAAACTATATCGTGCCAAGTCACAACCGAACAAGAATATCCCTAAACGCAACACAGACACATCAAAAAGCGAAACCGTCCCCTCTAAACTACCCTTCTACTACCCTCAGGTGTATGAACGCACGAACGAAATACAGAAAAAGCCATACTCATTTAACATACCAGACAATTCCCTATTTTCTTCCAACTATGACGTTGACAGTTATCTTAGAAAAAATCTTAATTTCAACAAAGAAAAAGATTTTCTCGTTTACGAAAAAGATGACTTTAAAAATACAGAAACTGACATAGAAAGGGATGATCTAGAAATAAAACGCAGGCCTCCTGAGAAGCAATTTCTTGACAATGACTATGTACCTATAGAAAATAAAACGCCCGAACTGGTACAAGTGCCTGTAGCGAAGAAAGTTAATAAAGAGAAAAATGTAGTGATAGAAAAAGCATTGGTACATGAAATATCTAATGTCAAAACAAGCCGTCCAACAGAACTGATAGAGAAGCAACCGTCCAAAAAAGCTATTGAAACTATAGATACATTGCCAATACCTGTTCTGAGACACTCTCCTAAAACCCAAAGTTCCAGTGTAGAAAACGTACAATTGAGTGAAGCTATGAAAAGAGTTGAAGACAAGTGGAAAGTGCCGGCTGTACAAAAGAACATACTGAAAGCTTTACCAAACGAGGAGGGCAAGAATGTCAATATACTGACACAGCTGGGGTCTATCCGACGACAGCTGCAATTGGAGCAGTTGAAATTGGACAAATTGTCGTCTAAAGACGACGTATGAACAGAGTTAGAAGGAATTTGACTCACGAGAAGAACTTTTTTTTTTAAAGCGCCATTCCCTGGAATTTTACACGTCGAAATTATATATTCCTAATGGCATAATACCTCGATTCTTGGCTATTTAATATCAAGCTGCGACACATTGAAGCTCATTATAGCTGTTAAGCAATACGAAACCCATTTTTCAATATGTTTCAACCGTTGACAGCAGCTTTCACAAAAAAATCATGGATTTTTTGTAAGAGAAAGCTTTTGAAAACCAAATATAGAAAGTATAATTAAGTTACCTTTTAAGTTATGTTTTTAAAAGCTTAATGAAGCTTATGGCTGTAATTAAGTGTTAAAATCTTTCAGATATTTACATGTTTTGAACTAAACACGTTGATTTGAACATTAAAACGTTTTCTCAGACTCAAAAACATTTCTGATGACTGGACATACATGGCTTCGTATTGCATGTGTTGTTTTCTGTACAAGTTTTTTTTTAATGTACCATTCTGTTAGAATTTTGTTATTAAATTTAAATTTGAAATCGAAAAATCGATTTATGTAAAATAATAAAATAGAGGCTATATAGAAACGAAATACCCATAACTTTTAATAGCTGTATGTATTTTTTTTTAATAATAAAGTAAATATAGTACAAACATAATAAAGTAGGGATTCCCTCTGTCAGTACTATATACACTTTATAATAATGTCCTGGGGGGAGGACTCAGGTCATTAGTGTAATAGCTGAGGTTTCCTAAACTTTAATTAGACCTGAAACCAGGCCAATTCTCGTAATAAAAGTTTGGTCTCAATTCAGTTCCGGTCAATTTTCGATCTCACAACTGTCATAAAAGGTATTTTCGTAGTACAGGATTAAACATCCAACGTTGTAATTTGTTTAAATCGTATTGTTATCGAAAATTGAATCGGTAATCTGCTAGTCTTAGTAATACTTTACTATTTTACTACTGAATTGAGATAGAACTTTTATTACGAGATTTGACCTTCTGGTTTAACTCAGTCAAAATGTCATTGTGATGTTTCAGTGTATGTGTTAATAGGCATATGTGGTTTAGCATCATATTCATTAGGTCATTACCAAGCGGTTACTGCATTGAATATCTTCAAGAATTGCATATTTCAATATTGCATGAACATAAATCATTCAATCAACACTCAATATATTTTAAGTAAGTATTTTCTATTACGTCAATAAACTTCATAATGCGTCAGTATTGTTTAAAGTCGTTAGTGTTTGCATGTTTTGTGTATTGTTAATTGTTTTTTATTATGTTTATTGATCTGTGTTGGTTATTTCGTACTTTTATATATTGTTAAAATAGGTTATAACAAACTTGAGATTTTATTTGTAATATCAAACGATAAAGTATTTAATGTGTATTTTTTAATTTGATGTTTTTCTTCATATGTTGTCTCTGTTTTTATTAAAGTCTAAGTTGTTTATAGAGGCGCCATCTAGTTTGAATCGTCTGAACTACTTCAAATGATACTGTATTGTGTTACTTAGATCGACAGGTTCTGTGTCATCTGCATAATAATGTCAAACTGTTGTGCTGCCGTCCATGGCGGTGAGCCAGTGCCCTTTACTAAAATATCATGACACACTCAGATTAGATATTGTATCTAGTAAATTTGAAACAATTTAATACTCAACAAGGAAGGTGATTCAAACTGTTTTGATCTAGAAATTGAAGTTTTGATAATCCCTTTCTTGTTACTATTTCTCGTTCTGCTTCATCATCAACAGCCTTTACTAGTACACTACTGGACATTGGTCTCTCCTTAGAAAGGAGGTTTTGGCCTACTATACCACGCTGGCCAGACGGGTTGGTACAGGGTTTATTTCAAGTTTTCCTTCTTTTTGCATTGCGGTTGTCCTGCGTAGTTTTGCTCCCTTAGTCGGCTCTTACGACACCCACGGGATGAATAGGGATGGTGACACTTTGTATTCTTAATTCACCACACGTTCTGCTTTACTAAGTTAAAAACAATGATACGGCTAGCATGTTGGTAAGCGGCCTTTCTTTCAAAGACCGTTGTTATGCCCTTGTTGTGGCTCTTTAAAGGCACTTTCCAATATAATTATTGGGAAAGTCACAACAGTTTACAATTGGACAATTTTCAAGGTATGTCTTTGTAAATAGTCGATAGTTCACTAGTTTATATCCATGCACTTCTGCCTAATACATAGTTTAAACCCTTTAGTCACATAAAGTCTACTGAATCAGGGTCTACTGTATCATAGTCCTCTTTGTCAAAATGTCCACTATAAAATAATATCAAAGCACTAATTACCACAACACTTATCAAAAAGTGTGACGTGATAACCAATTTCTTTTCCATACTACTGGTGCTTTAGTATTGGTTGGGTCATGAAATATTACATGTCACAAAAAGATGATAATATTTCTATGAATAAAATAATTAAAGACGATAGACTCTTAGGAGTCCGTGTATGAGCGGAATATATAAGTAGCGGTATTCGGTCCTTTTTTTTCTGTGCGGGAATCCCCTCGGTTACCACCCACTGGTGGTTATGTCGGACTTGAACCGACCAAAAATCCCCTTTCCCTAGGAAGGAAATCCCCTGATACCCCGACGTAGCGGTATTCGGTCCTGCATATGTAAATCAACTTTAAACAGCTTAAATTTATTCTTCAGATTTTGTTGGCAATAATTCCGATAAAGTTATTTCTTTCGTAATATTAAGTAGTGCCAAAAATTAAATACGTAGTGTAATTCCTGTTTAATTAAACTCTTGATATCACCAAATAAGTAGTAATCTATCACACTATAGGCTAGCTTACAATTTGTGGCTTACTGTTTGCTCTTTGATTTGACTGTATTTAAAAGTCTGCGTTGGAATTGTTGATTCTTTTTGTCTCTGACAATGTCTTTAGAATAATGGCATGAGTTATTTACACATGCAATTTAAAAAAAATCCGAGTACAATAATAGTTTTATTTTTGTTAATTGTGCAACCTCTATTATTTTTATTTCCAAAGATCAAATAATGAAATAGAAACAGACTCAAATATGTTATTAAGAGGTATTGTGTGTAGGTCATGATCGATAAGCAAAATGTACGCCACGAATAGTTTGTTCCATGAAATCATTTTAGAAGCTTAAGAGGCATTTTAATATACCTAATTAGTTTTTTTCTTTAATATTTTGTGTAAGTATTGAAAGACTGCATGATCTAGAGTAAGCAAAGAGCTTGGATAAGGAAAGTGAGATTAATGATAAGGAATAATGTCATTCTTATTTTTATAATAGCGAATTATATTTTTACATGTTTATGCTTTTAGTTAATATAAGCGAAGGCGCTTTGTTGTTTTTATTCTACGGCAACTCTTAAAATTTACCACAGATTCATTTATATGTGAATATATACCATATGCTCCGTGAAGTGAGAACGTTCAGTCTGCTTTAGCTACGATTTGTTGCCACTAGATGGCGCTCTTTTTATTTCTCACAAAGCGTGGTAAAAAGCTCGCACTGATCACTCTGAAGGTCAACTCTCGTAATAAAATTTCGTTCAAAAATTCAGCTTCAATCTACTCTCGATCTCACAAAATGTCTTAAGATATTTTCGTAGTGAAGTATTAAAAACATCCATCCAATCCATAAGTTGAATCGGTAATCTGCTAGTCTTAGTAGTACTACTACGGAAATATATTTAAAGCCTTGTTTTAGGGCTAAGTTAAATTACCACGTGCAAAAATACTAGTGTGCGTTACCCCAGCAAAATAATGTCGAAAATGGTCATTTAAACGTTATAGATAATTAGTTGCTCCCCTTCTGTAATTGTTAGGCACATTTTTAAATTTGTTTCTCTTAAACTTTTTTAGTTATTTCAAAAAAACATTTCCTGCTGGGGTAACGTTTGAAACGTTACCGCAGCCAGACATTTTCTTTTTTAATTGTAATATTGAAATAAATTTTAGCTAGAAAATTAGTTATCTGGACTAGGTAAATGTTACAACTTATTTGGTATTTGTATTTTCTTCGGCTGCGAAGTTATTCGAAATCCTGCTGGAGTAACGTTTGTGGGTTTGCTGGATCTCTGAAACGGGTAAGCGGATTGTAACCATCTTTTGTACATAACTTCTTAACGATTAGTTTTAATTTGTTCGACAATAAAATAACAAAAATAATGGACCGTTTAAAAATTATTTAGGTAAGTATGAAAACACTTCAATACGTCCTAACACTTTAAATAAGACCTCTAAATACTTACTTGAAACGTTATTCTATTGCTTGTAACTACCTTCAAATGTATACGAATTTTCGTAAGAATACTATAAGTGACTAAAAAGTTATGATGAAATGTAGCTCTCCACGTTCACGATCACAATGTGTGCGGCCTTTTTTGGCCACCGATAAACCTGTGTGTGGATATATAAACTGAATGTTATGCCAATAATTAGTTGTTTAGTTCAGTTGTCTACCTGTAGAATTTCAGCGTCGTACATATAATAATTTACGAGATAATTAAATAAAAGTCATTAGAAGGTGCAAGTCCGTGGTAATCCGACCATGTTTAGGTGGTTACAAAAAAGCGATCACCCAGTACATTGGGCTGTCTTTTAAAATGTTTAGTGTAATACACCTTACGATTTCGGTACAGTTGCGTACAGTGTTAAATACATTCAATATTTATTCATTATTATTACCTATTATTTATTTTGTTTTTTTCCCTAATTGATCTTAAGCACTAGTTTCTTTACTTAAAATTTCTTTAGTCTTTTTTACTACCGGAGCTACAATCAACAGAAAATCTGCACTGGTCCGCTAAAATTATAAATATGTAGATACATGTATGAACGATTCACCTGACTGCAATAAAACGAAAATTTAAACCAATAACAAATCGTTTCATTTCTTTGATTTTTTTTTTGTAAAGAAATAACACTAAAGTAATTGTATTTTATTTTGGGGTGTATAGAGCTTAGACTTGAATGCATCAAAATATTAAAAGCAACAAGT